CACACACACACACACACACATACACACCAGCCTAACTGAGGAAGGTGGGCATAAGAAGAGAGAATGGGGTGGATTTGAAATAGGTGCCATTCAATAGTGGCATACCGTGTCTGTGTTGGCTACGCACAGACACAACGGACCTTGCTGATTCCAATTTTAGAGATGCTGTACTGAGTTTAACCTGAACTTTCCAGGATCTCTCTAATGTGCTGAACCCTATCTCCTGTAAAGCACAGATTTACCCCTGGGATGGTGTGACCAGCCCTGCCCCAGGCCTTTGAAAACATCTTTCCAGTAGCATGTCCGACACCAGCGATTAACCACACCAGACCCAGTGACTAAAGAGTGGAACTGATAACTTTTAATTACATAGGAATATTAGACTGAGAACAAATTTGATCTTGAGTTTTCCTTTAGCTACAACAACCAATTAAAATAATTCATACTAACAAGTTCCTTATCCTTCTCCCTAGCTTTAACATTTGCTCAATTCTATGTTCCCCCATCATAACCCTTATATTTTATTTTTTTTTCCTTTTCAAAATCTCTGGGCTCTTCTCACTTTCATTACACCAACCTTCAAGCCCCCTCCTCTTTCAGGCTCTAGGATAGGCTGACTACATACACCACCGAGCCAATCACATTGATACCCTGTTAATAAGCGGATTGGCCAGGGCTCCTTCCCTTCACAGATGGAGTCGCAGCCCCCGTCCCCAAAGGCATAAGCTGAGTGCTCTCTTCATGTTCCATAAACTGAAGGATGGAGGAGCAAGACCGGGGGATGGGGGGGGGAGAAGAAAGGCGACAATATGGTGTGGATGGGCAGGACAAGGCAGAACTGGCCTTCTTATTAAGCAAAATGAAGGGGCTGCTTCAGATGGCAGATTCTGAAAAGGGGAGCAGAATGTTCATTGTTTACTTTTTTTATTATCATATTTTTACTACCAAGGAAGTGTACAGCTCTTTTGGGACTTTCTGATGTGTGTCAGAGTAACATGGCTGACTTTGGCTACTTGGCATGTTGACTTGGGGGGATATGGGTTGGGCTATCAGTTGTTCCTTGGCCTCAGGAAGCAAAATCTTTTGGGCTAGCCCTGGGCCTATGAACAAAATGGAAGTCTACATTTACAAAGACCCACATGGTCCCTAAGTATGTTATCACTCCGCAGCTGTATTCAGACATGAGGAGGCATTCTGGGCATTGTAGTAAGAAAATAACTTTTCTAAGCCGTGCTGGCTGGGGAAATTCTAGTAGCCCAAATACTGTAAGTAAATTTTCTAAGCTCTGATGGTGCTCCAAAATATTGCAACTGGCAAAGAGCTACAAGACCCAGAAAACTACTGTATCTCTGCTCATTCCACCTCCATCTTACCTTCTTCAAAGCTCAGAGGGACAGCCTAGCACATCCACAATGCCCACTAAAGACTGCTCTAAGATCTGTTCCACTCTAGTAGGACTTGCTTGTGCATCTCGAACCTTTCAAGGCTGCTGGTAAGGTAGGTAATGGGGGGGGGGAATATTACATTGTCAGACTAGAACCAGCTGAGCATATGTGTGAAGGGTGCAGCAAAGGAAACTAGGCCTACAGTACCAGAATGCAAAGTACACTGGGCACTAGTGGTTGCCTGGGAGCTAATGTGTCTCCACAGCAATAATGGATTTGGGGGTCCTTCCCTTCCAGAGGCATACTTCCTGGCCAAATGGAAAATGCATGTTTTCATTTTATCACTGGTTCAAATTCAAGAAAATCAATATCCTGTGGAACCACCAAGCAGGTATAGCCCTCATATTGGTTTTAAGCTGAGCTTCACTCCAGCAACTGGTAGACAGACAGATCTGGATTAGCTACTGTTCAAGCGGATAGAATTTTTACAGGCCATGTAAGTGGGATTCACAATTTATGTGGCACAAGTCCCTGCCCTTCATCTGTCTGCATGCTCCCAATCTGATCCCTGCAGTGGCACCCTGACAAGTGGAAGTATTACCATGCAAGTAGAGCCTGCGAAATTTACTTTTTTTAGACTCCTAGCTCCCAGAATCCTCCTGTCAGCATGTTCATTGTCAATGGGGGCTGGGATGGGGGCAGTCGGACCCCGTAAAGTAACTTTTCTAAGCTGTGAGCACAACCTTGTGGAAAGTTAAGAAGGAGAGGAGTCATCCACAGGAGCAAGATAAGCAACCCATGGCCTGAACAGGAGGGCTGCCTCACCCAGACTATGAGTCAGGGCTGACAAGCAAGTTACAGAACTTCAAATCAGCCCCAGGTTGTCCTTAGAATTTTAAAGAGGCCCAAGGCTATGTGAGCTAGGGATCATGGGCATTGTAATCCAAGCCGCCTGCAGGTCACCAAGCTAAATGATGCTGTTCTTGGCCATCGGGGCTTTTACAGAGTGGCACTGACCAGCTGATGGGGGGGAGGCAGACTGAGATATAAAGGCTTTCAGAATAGATGAACGAAGCTCACCCGACTCTCATTTTTCAATGTGCTCTGCCTTATTCCACAGACCTGTCATCAAGTGGAGTGCTATAGAGAGTTGGTCCAGAAGGAGAGGTGCTAATCACTGGGTGGGCACTTGAGAAATCAGTAACAGGGCACTGGGTGAATACAGGGAAGGGAAACATTTTCTTTTGGGACTATAGTTCTCCGAATCATTCAGGTCATCATAGCCAGTGGTTGTTGCCATTAAAAAAAAAAAAGAAAAAGCTACATTTATTGCCCAGGAATTTTTCCCAAAGTGCAAATATGAAACTGATCCTAACAAATCAAGATACCCTCAAAGTGCAGTGTATCAATATTGTGGCTGACTTTTCAGTGTGTATGACATGCTGGAACTGAACACCTAAAATTCCATGCTGTCAAGCTGATTTCAACTTATAGTGAGCGTTTTTCAGGGTTTTCTAGGTACAGGATAGTGGAAGATACACAGAAGTGGTTTACCATTCCCTTCTTCTGGGGGTGCCCTGGGGGTGCCCACAGGCTGGCTTTTCTCCCTGGAGACACAGTGGGGAATCCAACTCCCAACCTCTGGCTGCACAGCCAGACTGAGCTACTCAGCCAGCTACTGGGATAGCTCTCTGGGAATGTCTCCTCTCAACCCTACCCCACATGACTTGTGAAGGCTAATTTTGCCAAGGTTTCTAAAATCCATCATCTGGCTAGCCAGAAGTGCTGATCAAAGAAGTGCTTTCCATGGATGGGGATTCGCAAGTCATGACTTGCTATTGAGTCTGACTTAAAGTCACACGAGCGACTTGACATGTACTGA